CTCATTGGCTGGAACGGGACCTCACCTTCTGTATTTGTCCTGATTGCCTAGTAACTTAGAACTTTTAAAAGAGGCAAAGTCAGAGGAGAACAAAGAAGGAGGGAAAACTTGTAGCATGCCAGGGCAAATATTTAGGCTAAATTGTGGGAGCTAAGAACATAAAGTATATTGATTTTTTTTTTATTATGGCTAGCACATATTTAAGAATGTTAGCATAGGTCTTTGAATACATTTTGTTTCGAAGAGAAGTTATTATTTATTCCTAATTATATGGGAGGAAAGTCTTTGAAGAGAAACCTCTACTTGTACAATGTGAATGTAATTAATGTCACAAAACTGTGCATTTAAAAATGGTTAAGGTGGGCCGGGCGCGGTGGCTCGTGCCTGTAATCCTAGCACTTTGGGAGGCCGAAGCGGGCGGGTCACTTGAGTTTCAGGAGTTTGAGACCAGCCTGGCCAACATGGCAAACCCCATCTCTACTTAAAATACAAAAATAAGCCAGGAGTGCTGGCGGGTGCCTGTAATCCCAGCTACTCAGGACGCTGAGACACAAGAGTCACTTGAACCCAAGGGGGTGGAGGTTGCAGTGAGCCAAGATTGCACCACTGCACTCCAGCCTGGGCGACAGAGCGAGCACTGTGTCTTAAAAAAAAAAAAAAAAAAAAAAGGTTAAGATGGTAAATTTTGTTGTGTATATTTTACAATTAAAATATTTTAAATGGAAAAAAATCCTGAAAAACAGAACTATTATTTTATTGCAGCCCCATAAGGGACTGAGAAGCTGGAGGGGCCATGGAAGCCACAGTGGCTGGGAGTCCGGGGACAAGGTTTTATTCCCAGCTGTGTTCCCACCCGAGTGGCTTGGGGCATTTACACGGCTGTAAAGCCGTGGGATGCCTGGAGCAGAGGGGGTGCTAGGTGTTGCAGAGATGGATGAACTGGCAGACAGGCGGGTGGTGGAGGCTCCCAGGGTGGCATAGCATCTGCCGAGGTACCAGGTGGACGGCACCTGGCGAGGGTGAGCCCTTAGTAGTTGCCTGGGGAGAGTGTGGAGCCCAGGGCCATGGCTGCGTCCTCAGCAGCCCTGAGAGCTGCATGCAAAGCTCCCGGAATTTCTGCAGCCTCACAGAGGAGGGGGCGTCTTTGTGACAGCAATGGGTCACATCAGGTTTGAGGACCCTGGGCAGGATGGATACATGGGCTGATGTCCCCCTGCCCCTGCGGCCAGTCCATCAGAAAGGTAACTGCTTGTCACCCGGCTGCCCTGCTGGGGCAGGGGGCAGGCGATGCCAGTACCCCCTGCGTCCATGGCGATGGGTCCCAAGGGGAGGGGCTCATGACTTCGCTGGGCCTGGAGGCTTTGCCGGTCGTCACTGGCTCCCAAGTCCTCTACGGGCTCACCCGCTGCCCATCGCAGCCAATGTGCTGCCCCTCGACACTTTCAGGGACTCTGGGGAGGGAGCCTGTCCTCTGCTCAGTCCCTCTAGAAGCCAGCACTCCTTAGGGCCCAGAGATGACAGCTTGCCGGAAGCATCGAGTGTCAAGTCTGGAAGGGAAGCTAAGCCTTCTTGTCCAGCCCCCAACTTTGATGCTGAAGGAGCTGGGGCTCAGGGAGAGGCCTGAGGTCACACGTGCGCAGTGAGGCGCTCATCTCCTGGAACAGCCTGGTCCCTGGCCTCTCCCATCGTTGCACTTGGGCAGCCGTGAGCCCTGTCCCATGGGGATCTCAGACCTTAGCCTGGGGTGCCCCTGCCCCACCCTCTTGCACAGGGCCTGGGCTCAGTGGGGCTGCCTTGGTTCCCACCCTGCCCACCCACCCTGGAACCTGAGCCCGACCCATGAGGCCACCTCTGCTTCACGTAGCCTACCTGCCATGGAGACAGAGCGGCTGTCCGGCTCCTGGAGAAACACTGGTTGGCTGGGGCTGGGCTGTGGCTGCCACCCAAGGGGACCCTGCCTGCCGGGAGGAGTGGTCACCACTCGTCCACTCGGCACCTCAGCTCAGCCCTCAGGTGCTCACACAGGCTGTGGTCTCTCGGCAGGACTGTCCTTGCGTCTTCGATCGCCCTTCGTCCACGTCCCAAGGTTGTGGTCTTCCCACTTGAGCTGGACCCCGGTCTCCGAAGGTAAGATGCAGACTCTGGGGCGTGCAGGGGCCCTTCTCCAAGCCACTCTCAAGCTGTGCTGTCCAAGGCTGTGTGGGAGGAGGGCAGGTGGGCAGGTTCTGACGTTGCAGAGCCCCCCCTTCCTCCCTCCTTGTCCTCCCTCTTCAGGCCCCTCCCTTCCCTAGCTAAGAACCCCCCAGTTATTCCTGATCGATGGGCCCAGGCATGGCAGGGGTGAATGGGTGGGAGGGTGGTTCTTGAGGACGGCTGGGCATCTGCAGGGGTCCAGGCCTGGCTGACTGGAGGGGCTGGGCCCCAGGGGTTGGGAGGCACAGTGGGAGCAGCAGATTGAGGGCTGAATGGCGGAGGAGGTGCCCTCCCACCAAGACCCAGACCCCTGACCTGAGGCTGGCCCCAGCCGGCCGGCAGATGCGCAATTGTCAGGAGGAGTGTGAGCAGGAAACACAAGGGGGCAGCAGCAATGAGTGTGGTCAGCATAGAGCCCCAGACTGGGGTGGCGGGAAGCCCGGGTCCTGTGGCGTGCAGATCCACACACACAGACACGTGGATGAACTCAGGGAGCTGCGCAACGCTGGCAGGTCCTACAGTCTCCGGAGTGCCTCAGTCTCCCCAGTTAACCTAAGCACATAATCTCTTCTGCCTGTGATGGTCTAGCCCAGCCTGGAGAGCGGTAAGCCCATCCCGCCTGGCACTGGGGGCAGTGCCCTGGCTGACGGTGCCCACGTAGCCTCTATCTGGGCATGACTGGAAACGGTGAGGCTGGCCCAGGTGAGAAGTGGGCGTCCGCTCTGCCTGTGGGTCTGTCTGTTCTCTCTGGCCTGACTGGGCACCTTCTCCAGGCTGCCTGCAGCCTGTGCTGGGCATTCAGGGGACACACGGATCACTCTGCAGGAAGGCAGAACCCGGAGGTCCCCCTGAGCTGATGCCGGTCCCTTGGTTGAGAGTGCTCTTTGGCCTTTTGACTGTTGCCCAATGGCACAGAGTGGGTCGTCTGGCGGGAGCACCCCACACCTCCTCCAGAATCCTGTCTTGGGGACGTTGGGTTGACAGTGACCTTGATTCCTAAGAGGGGGCACGGAGGGGCTGGGGGTGGCAGGGCTGCTTCTCCCTGAGCGCTATGTTCTGGGCGCTCCTCCCTGCAGCTCAGAGATGCCTGTGGCTCAATCCCTTGTGTCTCAGATCTCAGCCTGCAGAGCTGGATGGGACCCCACACGAAGAGGGTGGGCTGGCTCTGGGGGCATGTAACGGGAGGAGGGCCGGCTCCTGGTCCAACCCTATGCCCGGCTGTGTCAGAGAAGGCTGCCAGCGCTCTGGAGTTGCTGCCAGCAAGATGGGGGTGATCCGTGTGAGATGGAGGGTCTGAGCAGCCCCTTGGGGCTCTACCACAAGGTGTAGTCATCTGCCCTGGCCATGGCATGGTGGGTGGGAAGTGGGGAGATGATGGAGGGAGTTGGGGGATCCATTCCAGTCCTGGTGGCTCCCCTTCACTGAGATAACCAAGGGAGGGCCAGGCTGGGATTGTAGTGGCCCCTGATATGTGTGTGTGTGCGATTCTGATCTGTGTGATGGGAAACAGCCGCCCCCCCGACACACACATGAGCACACTGACATGCTAACCCACACACACGCAGACACACGGATGAACTCAGAGCCTGCTGACTCTCCACACAGTACACACACACAGGCATGCACACGCATACACGCAGGCATGCACACGCACACACGCAGGCAGGCACACGCACACACGCAGGCAGGCTTCCCTGCACACCCCTCCCCGGCTGGCCTGCCCTGCCTGCCCGAGGCGCCTGCTGGCCCCCTGCCCCCTCATCCATCTTGCCTGCCAGCCTGTCCCTGGTGCCCTCGTATCCTTCACACCTTCTCATCTCACTGCTCAATACCAGGAGGTGGTGCGGCAGCCGTGGCCGCAGGGAAATGGATGGGCGGGCGGGGGTGTAGAGGGCTGTGGAAGTGGCACTGCAAGGGGACTCTGGGCTCCAGCAGCCCCAGCTGTCCAACAAGAGTCCATTAGGCTCAGGCAGGTGCGGGCAGTGAGGCTGCAGCCAGGTCGCATGTAGCCCTGTCTATTTGTCCTGCCATGACGCCCTGAAGGGTGCCAGCATCAGGACAGAGGGGCCCTCAGCAGCGGGCCTCATGCCGGCTCGCCGGACATCAGTGCTCGGTGTCCTGGGGATGGTGGAAATGATGGCTTCCCAATTAGAGCTGGGAAGTCCCTCTGCCCCAACCCAAGCCACCTCCTCCCTGCGTCTCTGCAGTTGGACAGGCTGTCCCGCATGGGGACAGCCTTGTCTTGCTGTGGCTCTTCCCCCAGCCCTGACTCCCTGCTTGAGCCACTATGGGCACCGGGCTCATTACACACTTGGAAATGTGCATCTGGCCACATAGAGATCCCCTTAGAACGCCCAAGCAACTGAGGCTCTTGGAAACACGTGTGTGTGGGAAACGCACAGACACGCACGCCAAAGAGCACACGGGGCAGGCACCATGCGTGGACAAACACACACGTGTGCACAGACACGGGCCCGGCTCTGCACTCCCCACACTCACCCTCTGGCCCCAGGACTGTAGGAGGGTTGGGGGGTCCCCCTCTGGGTTGTGGCTTCCTCCGAAAGCCCTTCTGCTGGATCCAGAGCAAAATTCTTCTCCAGGTTCTCCTCCTACACTCTGGGATCCTCCTCTGGGCATGGATGGACAGTTGTGGGCACAGAGGCAGCCACCACTGGCCCCAAGACACTTGTGCATCCAAGGCTGCACTGGCCAGACCTCCCCCAGAGCCTGTGGTCAACCTCCCTTCCTCCATCCACTGCCCCAGCCAGACAGGAGCTATGCAGGACAGAGGACACAAACCATGGACCTCTGGACATCTTCCATTTTATAGAATGGGAAACTGAGGCCAGGGGCTGGGGGGCCTGGCAAGGAACATGGTACATGGTAGGTGGCAAAAGGGACCTCTGTGCTCAGAGCTATGCCTCAGGACCCATTGTTCAGATGGGAAGACTGAAGTTGGGGAGGTGTGGCTTGGGTTAGGAAGCTGGGCTCGGGGCAGGGTTCAGCACAGGCATGGCAGGCACGGTGAATGTGAACTTCTCAGTCTGGACAAAGGCAATGCCCTTCTCATAGTAGGCAGCCTCATTAATGAACACGGGGTACACCGTGGACTCCCCGTCATAGAGCAGGTCCTCCCCACTGAACATTTGGAAGATGGGAGCACCGGGCTGCAGCGGCTGGAAGTCTTGGTCCTGGGAGGAGAGCCAAGTCCAAGATTGCTGGAGCCACCTCTGCCCTGGCCCCAGAGGGAGGTGACCCCAGCTTGGCACCCAAAAGATGCCCCTCATTTGTGGCCTTTCCCACCCACGCTTCACTTCCTCAATCCGTAAGACAGCAGGTCTGGTGAGATGCCAGTCTGCTCTGTGTCTAGAAATGAAGGCACAAGTCACCTTGGGGAGGCATGTGCCCATGTGGAAGTGGACCCTCATGGACATGGGCACAGGTATTGAAGCTGGAGTTCAAATCCTTGCTAACTGTGTGACTGTGAGCAAGTCACTTAACCTCTGTTCCTCAGTTTTCTTGTCTGTAAAATAAGGATTACAGTATCTCCTCCTATCATTCTGAAGTTTAAACTAAACAGGTTAATAGTGCTTACAGCATGTCTGGCACACAGTAGGTACAATATGATTCTTTATTAAATAAAATTTGGCTGGGCACAGTGGCTCACGCTTGTAATCCCAGCACTTTGGGAGGCCAAGGCTGGTGGATCATAAGGTCAGGAGTTCAAGACCAGCCTGGCCAACATGGTGAAACTTCATCTCTACTGAAAATACAAAAATTAGCTAGGTGTGGTGGTGGGCGCCTGTAATCCTAGCTACTCGGGAGGCTGAGGCAGGAGAATCGCTTGAACTTGGGAGGCGGAGGTTATGGTGAGCCAATATTATGCAACTGCACTCCAGCCTGGGCAACAGAGCAAGGCTCTGTCTCAAATAAATAAATAAATTTTAAGGCCGGGCACAGTGGCTCATGCCTGTAATCTCAGCACTTTGGGAGGCCGAGACGGGCAGATCACTTGAGGTCAGGAGTTCGAGACCAGCCTGGCCAACATGGTGAAACCCTGTCTGTACTAAAAATATAAAAATTAGCTGGGTGTGGTGGCGAGTGCCTGTAATCCTAGCTACTCAGGAGGCTAAGGCAGGAGAACTGCTTGAACCCGGGAGGCAGAGGTCACAGTGAGTTAAGATTGCACCACTGCACTCCAGCCTGGGCGATGAAGCAAGATTCTGTCTCAAAAAATAATAATAATAAATAAAAAATAAAATAAATTTTAGAATTGTAGGAGGGGCCACCCAAATTGACCGTTACTACTTAACATCTGCAAGGTAGCTGGGCACGGCTGGACTAGAACTGCCTAGCCCTAAACACGGACAGGACGGTGCTGCCTCCATTTGTAAGAAGGTAACTCCTCAAAATGAAACTTTAGGGCACAAAAGGCCACAAAACTGCACCAGACCCTATTCAAAAATGACCCGTGTGGCAGCAAGCAGAGCAGCAGCCAGTGGGTTCTCCCCAGGCACCCAAGAGAAAGGTGTGGAAGCAGGATTGCCCAATCCTGGAACATTCCGGAAGGGAAGGCCTGCAGAGAGAGAGACTTGGACAACCTGCCAACAGGCATGGGGATGCTCTCAACTGAAAATCAGAAGAGTTTTGTATTTGTACCTCCAAGCAGGTCTATGTCCCCTCCCTCTGCCTTTTATGGCCAGGGTAAGGTTGTCTACATCATGAGCTATGGGGATCACTGTGGCCTCTTGTGCTAGGCCTGAGTGTGGGGTTCCAGGGAAGGCAGCGGGGCCAGGGGAAGTGGGACGGTGGAGCCCAGCCTCCCATCCTGCTCCTCAACCTGAGATGCTGGTGAGCTCATGGGAGGTTTGGCTGCACCCTCTGGGGCTCAGTTTTCCTTGACAACCCTCCTCCCCAAGGCTGTGGCCCCAGCAATCACCCCCCACCACACACACACCCACCTGCAGCTGAGGATGCACAGTGCCTGCCAGGTCCCCGGCGTCAGTGCGAGGGAAGTCCACGACGCCCACGGGTCTATAGGCTTCCATCTCAAAGGCGGGAAAGGCCGTACCTGTGTGGGAGGCTGGGCTTGTGAGCTCATCTCTCCCTCCAGGCTAGGGGACAGAGTGTGCTGTGGGGGAACCTCAGGGCTAGATGCCAGCCTGCCTGTGAGCCTGGCTCCCCAACCCCTGAGCCAGGCCTGCTCTTCCCCAGACCTGTTTCCCGAAAGTCCCCTGGAGTCACACCCTGGTTGAAGAGTTCGATGAAGTCCAGAACTGTGGCCACCAGGGTCCTCATCCTTGAGAAAATGTCAGCCCGCAGCACACCCTGTGGCTGGGGGCCCAGCTCCAGAGCTGGGGACCAGGAAGCAAGGGGTTAGGCAGGCGCAGGACCCATATACTCCTTGAAGAGGCCCCGCCCCTTGGTGCCTGGCCCCACCCCTCCAACCCTCCTGGCCCCGCCCACTTCTCAGAAGGTTGCCACCCACCCAATCCATTTTTGGCCACGGAGTCCAGGTTGTAGCTTTCCTCTCCAGACCGCTGGCACAGGAAGACCTGGCAGGACAGCTCGGGGTATTGCAGCTGGGGGCAAGAGAGGCAGGTTAGGGGCCCAGGCCTACTTGGGAGGGGAAACTGAGGTGGGAGGGTGTTGCATGGAGGAAACACAGGGCACTATCCTCCTTGGCCAGGTCTCCCTCTGTCCTCTGGCAGGGTAGGGGAGGGGGTACCAGGGGCCTGGAGTGCTGGCAGGTGGCAGACCCCAGGGGCTGAAGCCCAGGGAAACTTGGCCCGGGAAAGAGGGACTAAGCAAAGGAGGTTCCAGCATTGTCCCGCCCTGCCCTCCCTCTCCCCTCTGGGAGGCTGTGTGCTGGGGGCTGGGGCCACCTGCAGGTGGCGACACAGGTGCATGGGAAAGACTTCGTGGGAGGACTTCGCGATTAAGCAGGTGCCCATGTTGGCCGTGGTGTTGTGCAGGTCAAGGACAAAGTCAAAGGCCCGGCCTGAGGCCTTGGGCCCCAGCAGCTGGTTCAGCTCTCGGGCTCTTGTCACCTCATATGGGTCGTCCGGGGTGGGCCTGGAACTGTGGAGATGGGAATGGGTGACAGCGACCCCCACAGTCTCAGTCAGTCTTCAGTGGTTTAAGGGGGAAGGGACAACGGCCCTGCAGGAGCTACTCTGAGCAGCGCGAGGGCTTTCTCTTCCGCCATTGTGGCTGTGTCCGCTCCCGCCTGTGGCCCTTTTGGCTCTGCACTTCCCGGTAAAATCCAAGCCCTCCGCCTGGCGCGCCCTCCTGCCTGCCTGCCCACTTGCCTGCCTCTCATGCCGTCACTGCAACCACACAGCCTGAGCACCATGCTGGTCTCACCCCTGGGCCTGTGCTGTGCTTGGCCCTCCACTGGAAACTCCCTCTCACCTCTCTTCCCCTGGCTAGCTTTTACTCAGCCTTTGGGGCTTGGCTGATAGACCACTGCCTCCAGGAAGCCTTTCCTGACTGCTCGCAGCCAGGTTAGCTGCTTTGTGCAGCCCCTGGCCCTGCCTTTAGCCTCCTGGGTTATGGTTGCCCGGTTCTTGGTCTCCCCATTAAGCTTGAAGCCAACACCTTGGTCCTATTCCCCATTCTCTCACCTGAGCTGGCCAGAGTCTGGCCTGGAGATAGGACTCAGTGACTATTCATTGGAAGAAGGCATGAACAGTGGTCAGGGCACACAAGTAAACGTGGCCTGTGGGGCTAATCTGAGGGAAGCACCAAGTCTGGGATCCCCAGAAGAGGTCCTGACCCAACCTGCAGTCAGAAAGGGCTTCCTGGAGGAGGTGACATCAATCTGGGTTTCTCTAAATGTTCAGTTTGTCCCCGTGGTGGAATGGGTTACACAGGCAGAGGGGAAGCAGGAGTGAAGACAGGGAGGGCCCTGCTGGTGGCTGGAGGGAAGGTTTGTGGTGGGGACTTGGTGCCTGACTGCCTGGGCCAACCTGGAGGCAAGAGCACTCACTTGAGGAAGCTGCTGGTGAAGGCGCGGTTGAGGTCATGGTCCACGTAGCGGCGGCAGGCGGCTGTGGCTGCCGGGTTGGCCAGCACAGGCACAGCGGAGAAGCTGAGTCTCTGCAGCTCCGCGGGGGCCTGCAGCCAGTGCCGGGCCAGGTAGACACCTGACATCTCGTTGCCATGTGTGCCCCCAGTGACAGCCACGCGACGCAGGGGCTCCCGGGGCACAGGCAGTGAGCACATGCTGGTGTGGGGTGCAGCACCTGGGGGTGGGCATACTTAGGAGACCCCAGCCCCGGTGCAGGGCCTTGGGCACAGAGCGGGGATGGCGGTGGGAGGCCCCTCAGGGCAACCGCCTGTCAAGAGGTGTGGCTGGCTGGGAGCGTCTCAGCTGTGTCCCCCCTGCACCCCCAGGGGCTCTTTCTCTGAGGAGACAATTTTCCTGCTCCTTTGGAGAAAAGAAGTTTATTTTTCCTAAATTGAGAAGAAGGGCCCAACTGTTCGGGAAGATGGGTTCACCAAGGCACACTCCCTATAGGAAGAGGACTGTGCTCCTTTTTATAGACAGGGAAACTGAGGCACAGCGTGGGGAGTGGAAAGCATCACCGGAGTTAGCTGTGGAGTGTCTGGGTTCTAGGCAACAACTTCGCCTTCCTGCCTCTCCTGTTTGCTCCTCCAAGCAGGTGCAGGGGTCTTAGGGCAGGGGGTACTTGCCTGCTGATGCGAATCTGGGCTTCCCGGGCCTCCAGGACTGGCATCTAACTCGCAGACAGGTTGGTATTTATGGGCCTGGAGATCCACAGACGGGAAGTTTTGTGGCAAGTTAGCAGAGAGCAGCTGGCCGGTGGGACGGGCTGAGGTTCACGCAGCCAAAGGTCGGAGTGCTGGGGCTGCTTCACTGCCCCTGCCCCGCCCTCCCTACTCTGTTACTTGTGTTGCCACGGTCCATCGAGTCCAGGTCCTGCGGGCAAGTTCCTGCCCCTGCCCTTTGTCCTTCTGCTGGTCCCCAGAGGGACCACCTTCCTTAACACCACTAAGAGGTACACCCGCAGTGGGGTGGTGACTCGGGTTTGGTCACCACCAGAGCAGGCTATTGAAAGTTACTATAGAGGTGTCACCTTGATGGCCACCAAGATGACAAGCTGCTCCTCCTTCGCCACCTCACAGCATGCCTCTGTCCTTGCAGCCCCCAGAGGGCTGTGGTCACTCCCGAGTCGCCCTTACCCAAAGGTGCCACGGGGAGCCCCAGTTTTACAGCTCTTTGTTGCTTTAAGCAAAATTTCAAAATGTTTGATCCGGGATTTCAGTCATTTTCAAGGACAGTGTAACTCAGATGACTCGGTTTGCTCTGTTTTGGAGACGACCCTCAGGCTCATTTTATAGATGTGAAAACTGAGGTTCAGACAGATGTCCGCAGGCACACAGAGCCCTAGAGGTGGTAGAGGCGGACTGCCCATGGGCACACAGAGCCCTAGAGGCGGGCTGCAGGTGGCACTCAGGGCATCCAATCTGGCTCCATCCCCTCCTGATGACTCTCAAGAGCAAAGTGGGGAAGGATGAAGGTGAGGTCCCCCTGCACTCAGCCCTGCGGCCTCTCCCTCCCACCAGGCTCAGCTGTCTGCTGGGAGGAGCTGAGGCCAGTTCAGAAGTCACTGGGGAGTGAGGCAAGCTGCTTTGCCAGGGCCTGCTGGATGCCAGGTGCTGGGACCCCGAGCTGGAGCCTCCCCCAGGCATCCGATCCCAGGCTTTCTTTATCACCACACTGGGTCTCCCCGGGCCAGTCCAGCCCTGCTCCAGATGCCAGACCCACCAGCCTGGGGGGCTCTGGGTGGCCAGGACCCTCTTAAGTTACACCCTCTCGGAAGCTGCCCCAGATCACACTCAACTCCGTGTGGCCTGGGCTCTCCTGCCCTCCACACCCAGGGCTCCGTGAGCTCAGAGCATACGGATTGTGGGGACGGGGGATTTGTCATCCTGGCTCCCATCAGGGCAGCTGGGACCTTGACAGGGTGTTAAGAGGGGTGGATGGAGTGTGAGGCTGAGCCCCCAGCGGTCCGGGGCTCCCTATGAGCCCCCTCCAGGGACCACTCCTCCTGCCACCTGGAGCCTCAGCAAAGGGAGGGCAGAGACTGCCATTAGGGGGCCATGCCATGCCATCGACTCCTGTATCCGACCCAGCCCTGGGGGCAGCTTTCACTGGCTCCATTTTGCAGGTGTGGACTGAAGCTCTAGGGGTTGGGTGACTCGATTGAGTCCTTGGCAGGTGGTGGGAGAGGGAGTCAGCAGAGGAGCCTGTCGGCCTGGGTCTGGTCCCTCCTTGCTTGGGGTAGGGGTCTCAGGGACCCCCATGCTGCTTCACGAGTCCCAGGCCATGGTCTTTGTTGGAAGGCCCCGCCAACCCCCACAGAGGCTGGGATCCTGCTGACTCGGTGTGGTGCCTCTCAGGAAGGAAGGGCCTGCTTGGCAGACCTAGCTACTTTGGGGGCTGCTGGGGGCCGGGGTGCTTCCTGCCACAAGGTGCTGGGCCCCCAGCTTCGGGGAGGACAGCAGTAAGGGTGCTGGAAAGTTTCACTTCCCTTGCCTGGGGTCCGGCTTCTGCATTTCAGTGAGTGTTTATGGAACAGAAAGGGGGCCAGGAGCCCATGCAGGAGCCCCAGAAACAGCAGCCCCCAGTCCCAGCAGTGTGTGTGCATGTGTGCATCTGTAAATGTGTGCATGTGCATGAGAGCATGTGCGCGCGTGTGCGTGAGAGCATGCATGTGTGCATGAGTGTGTACCTGTGTGTGCATGTGCAAGAGAGTATTGTGTGTTTGTGCATGTGTGTGTGCATGCATGTACATGTGTCCATGTGTGTGTGAGAACGTGTGTGCGTGTGTGCAGGCATGTGTGCATGTGCTTGAGAGCGTGTATATGCATGTATGTGAGCATGTGTGCATGTGTATGTGTGTGTGCACACGTGTGGCCTGGATTTGACCCCACCTCCCTGACAGGCCGTGTGACCTGGAGAGATTCAGTGCCCTCTCTGGGCCTTGGCTCCACACTGTGAAAGTCCTGGCCAAGGACAGCTGTGGGGAGTGAGGAATAAAGGGCAGGCACAAGCTTGAAAATGGGCACATGGAGACCCCAGCATGAGTGAGGGCAGAGGATGGTGGTGTCATGGGCATCATCACTGGGGCCAATTTCTTCACTGCAGTTGGGGAAACTGAGACCCAGAGAGGGGTCAGAGCTGTGGTGTCCCCCTGTGGCAGCATCCAATTAGATCATGCCTCCCAGCATCACCTCATTGCAAGATGCAATCAGATCACGCCTCATTACCCTATGCTTAGAAAACCCGCGGCAGCTTGGGGAGACACCACTCTGGGAGGTGTCTCGGTGTTCTCCTTACTTGTTGCAAGAAATCAAATCCCCTGTTAAATCCTCTTTAGTTGACACCTGCCAAGCAACTGAGCGCACCCGTTGTGTGGATAACAAAACTCTGGCGACCCAGACGGGGCCAGCTGGGATTCTGATCCTAACTCCTTGACGCTCACTAAGGTGAAGCAGTGGGCAGCGGCACCTCCCCCGGGAGAACTCACCCACATGGCCCCAGAGGGTTGAGGATGACTCCCGGGGATCTTCTGCTTGCTGCACGGCCCATGGGGCTGTCACTTGGCCCTACCCCCGAAACAGCGGAAGCAGCTGCCTAGAGCTTTTGTTTGGCGCTGCTCCTTCAGGGAAGAAAGTGGACTTTGCCCCTTGGGTTGACTGAAAGGGTAAATTCTTTGGATCTAGCAGTGGGATCTCTAGACTTCAGCGCAGTGCAGCTCTGCTTCCAGTTTGTGTCTCTGCTCTGCGTGCCCTGGGGGATTGAGAGGCATCTCCAGCCAGGTCAAGGGCAACCCGGATCTGGGTAGACAACAGTGGGACTGGTTTTGGGAAATCGGTTTTTTTTTTTTTTGGAGACGGAGTCTCACTCTGTCACCCAGGCTGGAGTACGGTGGCATGATCTTGACTCACTGCAAGCCCCACCTCCTTGGTTCATCCCATTCTCCTGCCTCAGTCTCCTGAGTAGCTGGGACTACAGGTGCCCACTACCACGCTCGGCTAAATTTTTGTATTTTTAGTAGAGATGGGGTTTCACCGTGTTAGCCAGGATGGTCTCGATCTCCTGACCTCGTGATCCACCCGCCTCAGCCTCCCAAAGTGCTGAGATTACAGGTGTGAGCCACCGCGCCCGGCACGGGAATTTGTTCTTTTTTAGAGAAACAGATTTTTTCACAGGAGGCTGAGCTGCTCCATCTCCCAGAGCCCCCGCTTGCCATACCCTGGGTTACCAGAAACAGGAGCTCTGCTATTTGATGAAAAAAATGCTTTTTTCAGATAAGTGTTTTTATTGTATTATCACACAAAGCGGGTAAAGTTGTATATATACACATACAACTTTTTACAAATACGTGATCATATGTACAAAGGCTAGAAGGAAATATACAGAAAAATATGTATTAAAATACTGGGTTTTTTTCATTATTTTATAAGATACTCTACAAAACATTACAATGAGGTAGGACTATTTTAATGCTAATTTCATTAAATGAATTTGTTCAAGAGCTTCTTTGTCAGCCAGGTGCAGTGGCTCACACCTGTAATCTCAACACTTTGGGAGGCCAAGGGGAGCAGATCGCTTGAGCCTACGAGTTCAAGACCAGCCTGGGCAACATAGGGAGACTCTGTCTCTACCAAAAAAAAAAAAAAAAATTAGAGTGGGCGCGGTGGGTCACACCTGTAATCCCAGCACTTTGGGAGGCTGAGGCGGGCAGATCACCTGATGTCAGGAGTTTGAGACCAGCCTGGCCAACATGGCAAAACCCCGTCTCTACTAAAAATACAAAAATTAGCTGGGCGTGGTGGTGGGTGCCTATAATCCCAGCTACTTGGTAGGGTAAGGCATGAGGCAGAGGTTGCAGTGAGCCGAGATCACACCATTGCACTGCAGCTTGGGCGACAAGAACGGAACTCTGTCTCAAAAAAAAAAAAAAAGAAAAGAAAAAATTAGCCAGGTGGTGGCACACACAGCCGTGGCCCCAGCTACTCAGGAGGCTGAGGCAGGAGGATCACCTGAGCATGGGGAGTAGAAGGTTACAGTGAGCCGTTATCGTACCACTGCATTCCAGGCTAGACAGCAGAGTAAGACCTTGTCTCAGAAGAAAAAATAAACAAACAAATAAATAAATAAAGAGCTTCTTTGCCAATATCCTTTTGTGGGTATACGTCATAGTCCCATAGTACTTCTTCAGCCCAAGGAGATAAATGTGTATTAGTCTGAAGACCCAGGAGAGCATCTTCAAGACTTGGCACTGTCACTAATAATGATCTGATTCCTTACGTTGTGACAAATATATTCCCAGCTCTGGCCTGTTCTGCCTCATTAAGAGAATATTTGAAGACATTATTTGCGATAACAGCATGAGCATTTTGCAGAAGAAACCCTGGGGACAGATGTCTGCATGAAGCACCTTTAATCTCTGAGTAAACTGGTATTTTTTAATGACCATTTCCTGCAACTGGCAAAAGTCTCCATTCAGTTCTACTCCACAGAGTTGCACCTGCTAAACTATAAGATCACCCCACAAAGACTGTGCTGAGCCTGGAGCTGATGTCAGCCACAACCTTTCCTGATTGATCAGGGAGTGCACGAAGATAAATGAACTTCAATTCCATGAGGGAGAAGGAATAAACAATCAGTCTAAAGGTTCTGTTTGGTGTGAACCACACAGTAGTTGCTTATTTTCCCTTTGTCACATAATGAATCAATGAAGTCTTCATCACAAAGGAATGCATCAGCGTAAATGGTGGGTCCTGGCTGCTGCTGTAGTTTTTGAAGGGTGAGATGTTCTGAGGAAAGCATGGTCTCTAGAGGCAAGCAATTCTGAAGGTCTTCTGCAGTGGGTTTTTTTTTTTTTTTTTTATTTGGGGACAAGGTCTGGCTCTGTCACCCAGGCTGCAGTGCAGTGACCCGATCTTAGCTCACTGCAACCTCCAACTTCCAGGTTCAAACAGTCCTCCCGTCTCAGCCTCTCAAGTAACTGAAACTACAGGCACGTGCCCAGCTAATTTTTTTCTCAGATGGGGTCTTGCTATGCTGTCCAGTCTGGTCTCAAACTCCTGAGCTCAAGTGATCCACCCCCTTCAGCCTCCTAAAGTGCTGAGATTACAGGTGTGAGTCACCACACCCGGCCTTTCTGCTGTGTTTTTCAACACAATGTCTTTATTGCCTTCAGTCAATTCATCTAAATCTCAGGCAGTTTGCATCCTCTGGAGCAGTGCTGGGCGGTCAGCAGAGCCACAGTGTAGAGCAGTTACGAGATTTCCTGCCTTGCCGAGTGAAATCTATGCCTTCCAATTTTTTAAATTAATTTTTTAAAAATTAGATTGGTGCAAAAGTAATTGCAGTTTTTGCCGTTACTCTCAATGGCAAAAACAGTAGTTACTTTTGAACCAACGTAATATTATAGAGACAGGGTTTCACCATCTTACCTAGGTTGGTCTCGAACTCTTAAGCTCAAGTGATCTGCCCACCTTTGCCTCCCAAAGTGCGGTGATTATAGGCATGAGCCACCGTGCCCGCCCCTCCCCGCCAATTTTTTTTTAAAAACTAGTTGAGTGTGGGCCAAGAGTTGTGGGATCTGTGTCACCACCAATCCCTCCTCTAAGCTGCTGGGTGGCTCATATGGGAAAACAGTAATTATAGCAGGACTCCAGTGGCACAAGCCATGCGGATAAACTACAAAAAGCAGAAGGGACACGGGGGATGCTGACATCTCAATTGGTTGAGATTGCCCTTAAGGTATTGAGCAACTGTGGCCAAATCCAGGAAGGCAAAAAAAAACCAAAAACAACCCAACAAGGCAACACAAGATAAGAAGCTACCGAGTCTCTTGGCTACAACCAGCCAGTAAGTACACAAGAAACAGTTCACTGCGGCCAGGTGTGGTGGTTCATGCCTGTAATCCCAGCACTTTGGGAGGCTGAGGTGGGCGGATCACCTGAGGTCAGGAGTTCAAGACCAGCATGGCCAACATGGCTAAACCCTGTCTCTACTAAAAATACAAAAATTATGGTGGTGGGCACTTGCAATCCCAGCCACTCGGGAGGCTGAGGCAGGAGAATCGCTTGAACCCAGGAAGCAGAGGTTGTGAGCCAATATTGTGCCATTGCACTCTAGCCTGGGTGACAAGAGCAAAAGTCTTTCTTGAAAAAAACAAACAAAACAAAAAAAACCCAGTTCACTGGAGATGATCAGCCATAAGTAAGATCCCTAGGGCCCCCACTGCCTGGCCAAAGGGCCTCCCGCCCTTGAGACCACAACAATGTGCATATTGTAAACAAGAGGGCCATTGGGTACTAGAGTGTCCTAACTGTCCCCAGTGGGTAGGGGAAGAAACTTCCTTGTCAATCAGCCCACCAGATGCTACAGTTTGCTAATAGTGACCAGAAGTGATGGGACTCAGGGACGCCTCTATGATCTAGGAACTCCTAGATTGGGTAACAATTGCTGTGGGATAGACTCATGGGTTTTCTAACTGACACTAGAGCCAAATTTTTGCCTGTCTCCTTTCTACTGTGTTCTTCCTAAAATTTAGTAAAGGGCTTCTGCTGTATGGGACAGATAAATTTTAGCTAAAATTGTTATTTGGACAGAGACAGAGTTGGAATCTGTCTTTTAAGTAGTGAATTTTACTTGACCCGTGGCTAAACCTTTAAAAGTTAAAGCTACAA